CAAATTCCAATCAGTTCCAATCGTTGGCAAAGTTGCAAAATAAGCAATGAAAAATAAATATGGAAAGCATGTAACTAGATTGAGCGTAGGTTTAACTTAGCTTAGAGTTCTCCAAAAAAAATTTTTAACGATTTCTATTAGAGGAGAGCAGCAGACCAGATATCGAGGCAAATTTGGCACATTTAGCAGTTGCAAAAAAAAATTAATAAATGTGAAAAACGTACTAAAGAAGATTTTTTAAATAATTTCTATTAAAGAACAGCAACAGACCGGAAGTCGACGCGAATATTTAACCAGGAGGCTTGCACGGGAAATTATGTACTCGCCGGTTTTGCCTCGGTTACTCCTTGACCCGGCACACTTGACCTTCTTCCGACGGCCGGGATATGCAAGAAAAACGCCAACTAGACAGGGACGATAACGCGAAAGTTATCCCCCGATCGTCCGCACAGAGGCACCGCTCTATTTTGCTTAGACATTACAAGATTAATCAACGATTTCGATGCCCGTTAACACGGCAACACACGGGCCCCTCTAATTCCCTTAACGATTATTAGTGTCGCAGAGATCAAAGAGCTGTGAAATGCACTGCATACCACGATCGAGTCTCACAGAAGCTCCTTGCATCGAGGCGCATGAATTTTTATTTGAAAATATTCTTCGGATAGTGATGACGTGTCCTTGTTGTTATAGAAAAGAGAAAATTTGAAAAAATTCGAGGGAAACGTGACAGATATGCATAAGGTAATTTCAGTCACGCGGTAAACATAAATGAGTTTCCAAAAAGATTATGATTCTCTGGAATATATTATTTGAAAAAGATGTACATAGGTTCTGCAATTTCCTTTAAGAAATATTTCATTGGGGATGGGTAAAAAATGAAACACCTTGTATAGAATTGATAAAGGTAATATCGCCTAATGATTCTGCGTAACAAAATGAAGTAAAAATCAAGAGCAGTGCAATTGCCAATGCGGCTTGGTTCTAAAGTTACAAGCGCTTAAAGAACCGACCCAAAAGCCCCTGTGTTCAGGCACTCCGTGATGCATAGATTACAATATAAACATAAGTCAAGAGAAAGTAGCTTCTCGATGCTAGCGAAACATAGCGATACAAAATTTACCATAATTTCTATAATTAAAACTGACAGCACTGCTTCGTTATCCTCGAAAACAATTCTACCCTCGGTCCTCCATCTATTTCTCAACTAATGTCTGCTGGTTGCCGTATGTCAAGGGCCTCTGGGCCACATCTTCAAATACCTGTAACAAAAAAACAGAGCCTCGACCGTAATACGCTCGTTCTTCACTTCTCATCTGTTTAGTTGCGCAGAATAACCTCCACCTGTTGCAATTTTTACAAAAACCAAAATTTTCCTCCGAAACAAACCTTCTCACGACGGATTCTTTTCCTTCCGTCTTTCTCTCTCTACTGACGCGAAAGAGTAACCAATGCGTACAAATAGTCAAGTACCATCTGTCGACGAGTTTCAACCGTGCGAGCATGACGTTTTAAACTTACACGCGGCG